AAAACTCAATTCAAAATTTTAAGAAACTGACTTCAGATTCGGATTCCCCGACCCCGATTTACTTTCGCCAACCTATATGAAATATCCCTATTTTCTGAAAAGACCCTTCCCTTGACTCAAAAAATTCAATTCAAAATTTTGAAAAACTAGCTTCAGATTCGGATTCCCCGACTCCGATTTACTGTCGTCAACGTTTAGAGGAAAGAATCTTATCTGATTGGTCGAAAGCCTCAAAGCGCAAACTTCTTTAAGCGGATGTCTTTTTTGACCCCGATGTTCTTTTGACCTGACGACAAGCAAGCAAGCAAACTATTTTTTTTATATGATCCTCCCTTCAGTCGAGGGAATATGATTGGTGGATAGCCCATCCTCGAAAACCCCTGATTGGTCGAATCCACCAAACCCAAAACTATGATTGGTGGATAGCCCACCCTCGAAAACCCCTGATTGGTCGAATCCACCAAACCTAAAAATATGATTGGTGGATAGCCCACCCTCGAAAACCCCTGGTTTGCTGATGGGTCATAGTGAAAGTATGAGTGCACGGTAGGGATGTTCTTTTGATCCGAATGTTTTTTTGATCCCGACAAACATACAAACCCATTTTGAGTTTTCTTCATATGACCCTCCCTTCAGTCGAGGGAACAAAGATATATTTCGAATCTAACACCATACATTTTCATTTGTATAACTTGTTCTGTAGAGGAAATGGTTTTCTGTTGTGCACTATTCTTATTCTCTCGGATTGGCGTGGAAATATCAATGGAGAAAGAATGTATGTCGCAATTGAGTTTAGATTTTGACAAAATGTCTCAAACAATTCGTCTCAGATGAAGCTAGTACATATTTTCAATTTTTATGTCATTTTCGGTCTCTCTCAATTAGTTCTACATTAGAGATATCATTTAAATTTCTTTCGAGAAATATAGAATAGCAGTCAGCACCATTTATCTTCAGAATGCACAACGAAGACATGCTAATGTGGAAAAAATGTGGCGAGACAAACCCAACATTTTTACAAAATGAGCTAGAAAGAGTCAGCATAGTTAAAACCCCCTTGTAACGTTATATGTGACACAGCGCCGTTTCCTTGATAACTAAATTACATGGCACAAAAGATTAAATGTTCTAAATATATCAGTTTGTTCTTTCACTTCGACAGCGCTACATCGCGGACATAAGACAAATCAACAAACTAAATTTGTGACTTCCTGTTGTATTTTCCAGGTAGCTAGATGCAATAGGGTTTGGGTTTACGAAAGCATTTATAAAATAAACAAACGTTTCCAAAAACACCTATAGCCACATTTACCACGATTCTAACAAAAATATAAAAGAAAAAAGTTGAATATCTCACCATCATGTTCTTCATTCTCCACTATTAGACAAAAATTTCAATTAGGATACATCTTAACGCCTTACAGTATTGTGAAAAAAACTACGCCTCTTTAACAACAAACAACGAACTCATATTTTGTCGAGTTCCATATCCAAAATGTCTGACTGACTAGAGTAGTCCTATAAACAGCATCACCAGTTAGAAACTCAGCTAAAAATAAGCCTCATCCGTGGAAATCTAGTTGTAAAACAGCTCATTGAAGAACAACTTATCGCATACGTCGGATTAAGCGAGTTTTAAGTTTGAAAAATTGAACCGGTACAAAGCCCAATATTAAAAGTACGAACATCAACAAACACTTCGCCATGCTTATTTTTTTGCGCCTCACGTTTCACTCTGACAATAACAGACAAAAATTTATTTTGTTTCATATAACTCTTTTTATACTCCAGAAAACATTATTTTCTCCAACAACATTTTTCCATGAACCCAAAAAAATCAATTCAAAATTTTGAAAAACTAACTCCAGATTCGGATTCTCCGACCCCGTTTTGCTTTCGTCAACCTTTATAAAATATCCTTATTTTCTCAAAAAACCCTTCCCTTGACTCAAAAAATTCAATTCAAAATTTTGAAAAACTAGCTTCAGATTCAGATTCCCCGACCCCGATTTACTTTCGCCAACCTTTATAAAATATCCTTATTTTCTCAAAAAACCCTTCCCTTGACCCAAAAAGTTCAATTCAAAATTTTTAAAATCTGATTTCAGATTCGGATTCCCCGACCCCGATTTACTTTCGT